ATTGTGATTTCATTCGTATTATTTCATGCTTTCAATCATTATTTTTCGTATCGTGCCTTGTTGCCAATCCTTATTTTTCGTATAGTGTCATGCTTTCAAACATTACTTTTCGTATTGTGCCTCGTTTTCAATTAGATGGTTCATCTACATAACATATTCTACGGTTATGTATATTCCGCACCGAATACTTACGACATCGGGTACGAAATCTTCAACATCGATCAGATGGCGGTCGTAAAAGCCGCCGGCACAAGGATTAGCCGCACCTCTGCTTAATCCATTCTGCAATCACCTCCAGTTCCGGCCTCCAGGTAATCAGATGACAGCGCGACGTTCTTCGCACTTTGCACGTCGCCTTCCCCGCATCTGGATCTTTATCTGAGAAGCATAAAACAATCTTATCTGATCTGCACAGCTGCCCCACATCGGACCGTAAAACCCGAATGACTCACCTCCAACACGGCAACGTTATCTCTCCCAAAGAGCAATTACCGCTATTTCACAACTATTCTCACCTCCTCGGCTTGTTTTGCTTGATTTGAATGCGCGATTCTTCACCAAATTTCATTTCTCATTCCCACTTTTTTCTTTTGAACCTATTTGTAAAATATCCTACATACGAAAAGGCCGATGTTAACGAAACGGATATTACGTAAGCGACTTCACATCGTGGGATTTGCGCATGCGCTGCACATTGCCTATGAGTTGTTGAATTCATAGAATATTCATATGAGTATATAGGTGAAGCAAGACCGAAAAGAACACGCCAAAGTCACTCAATCAAGGTTATGTCGACTGTTTTCTTCGATTACCGTGGTGTGGTGCAGTATGAATTCCTTCCGCCGGGCCAAACTGTCAACAAGGAATATTATTTGAGTGTTATGCGTCGTTTGCGTGAAGCTATTCGCAAAAAGAGGCCACATTTATGGATAATTAACTCTTGGTTTTTGTATCACGATAATGCGCGATAATTGAAGAGATTCAACGTGAATCGGCGCGTGCTTTGAAGGCCATCCCAGCCAATGATTTTCTAGCATGCATTGAGGATTGGAAAAAACGTTGGCATAAGTTCATTGTGTTCTGAGAGGATTACTGTGAAGACGATGAAATGGATTTGGAAGAATAAATAAAGAGTTTTTGAAAAAATAAAAATTGGTCTAACTTTGTGGGCATAATTTCCTACAGACGCGAGTCATTTCACAACTATTTTCACATCATCGGCTTGTTTTCCTTGATTTCAATGCGCGATTCTTCACCAAATTTCATTTCTCATTCGAACTTTTTTCTTTTCTTTGTAAAATATCCTACATACGAAAAGGCCGATGTTAACGAAACGGATATTACGTAAGCGACTTCAGATTGTGAGATTTGCGCATGCGCTGAACATTCCCTATGAGGTGTTGAATTCATAGATTAGTGATGTAATATAGCGCGTTTCGGGGTTGCCAGTTTGGGGAAAACATAATCCTCACATGACTAAAAGTCACGTGAGGATTATGTTTGCCAAAAACTGAATCTTTTTGAATTACCGCGATATACTAGCACACGCACCGCCAACTTAGTATGATCTTCATGCTTGAACAGTGTCGACAAATCTGTATTCAAAATGTTAGGAATTAATGAGACATCATTAAGATTTAAGCATACAGCCTTCAAGAAGCTTGCGGAGGAATTTCAGTCCTGGTGTAATCAAATTCTGGAATTCAGTTACACTTTCCTAGAGGTATCCAGAATTGTATACAGTTTATGTTTTATATTCTTTTATTTTTCTTCTTCTTCGTCAGCACTATGGCCTGTTACAGGCTAAGGCAGTGTCTATAAGCTTTCTCCATCTGACTCTGTCCAGGGCAATAGATCGCTATCTATTGGCTCCCAAACCCTTTAGATCCCTTTTCTTTTATTTATGTATAATCTGCATTGTCCTAGTGTAGGGTTGGCCAATCCAAATGATCTTGCGGGCCACTTTGGAAATGCATCTTAACGCTGTAGGCAGCATGTAAAATTATATATACCTATATTAGATTTAGATCCACTGTAGACATTTCTTTGGAAGGAAAAATTGAAACATAACGAGTTGTTATTTTTGGGATTAATTGTGAATTCCCACATAGAAAATACAGGATCTTCCCAGTACGTCCCACAATATATTCATGATGTCTCTTTGAAATCCAAATACAATACTGTTTATTTACTGAATTAAGGAAGTGTAATTACTAATATATGATTCAAACTCTATAGATACTACAGGAATTTCATCTCCTTTCTTAAATGTATTATGAATTCCCATATAGAAAACACAGGATCTTCGCATTAAGTCCCACAATATATTGATGATACCATTTTGAAGTCTGGGCCTGAATGGCCGTGTGGCTAGCGCTCTGGCGCTCGGTACCATAGGTTTCGCGTTCGAGTCCCGGCGGTGCCATGGATGTTTGTAGTGGTTCGGAATCCACATTAAACCGTAGGTCCCGGTCTAATAGGATCGTAAAGCGTTGCGGGGGCATTGTTACACCGCGTCCGTAGCTTATCTTCGAGTTACACGTGGCCCCTGGGTAATGCAAAGTGAGTAACGTCTGTGCAGCGCTTGCATTAAGGCATCCAAGACCAAGCTGTCTAAGTGTTTGCCAGCTGCATTAGAAAGAAAAAAAAAATTTTTTTTGAAGTTTAGAAACTCCGCTAAATGTTATAACATTTACATTCATGAAAAATTTATCATGCCTGTTTATTAAATTGGGAACGAAACATAAGAATTTAGAAAAAATTGCACTGGTAAAATAGTAACTAGAAAAAATATAAATGTTTACCTTTTTATATGAATTCTTTTATGATATTTAAATTAAGTGATACTTAATTGGGCGTAGGGCTGACAACCCTACTCCGTAAAAAGAAAAAAAAACTTCCTTCCCGTCTCGAAATCTACCAGTAGGTAGACGGCCTTGGCCCACACTGGGCTGTTGCACCAATGAGGATGATGATGATGATGATGATGATGATGATGATACTTAAATATTATTAAAATTCAAAATCATCCATTTTTTTTATTCTTGCATATTTTATCGACAATATGCAGGCATTCTTATGAGTTTTCGTATTTTTAATTATTAAAACAATTGCGTATTTTATATGATCGTGTTTTTGATACAAATATTTATTTGTAAAGTTTTATCAAGATTTACCTAATTTTTTTATTATCTGTATTAAAGCGAAATAAAATTTATGTTGTTGTTGTCGTGTCCCTCACGGAAGGAGGGGAGAGGGGTGAAGCTTCTGTTCTGATGGAGCACCCGTAGGTAGAAGTCTGACTTCTGCTCCGTAACGCTCTTACAGTCATAAGAGACCGGGACCTACGGCTTAAAGTGGATTCCGAACCACTACAAACATCCATGGCACCGCCGGGATTCGAACCCGAAACCTGTGGCACCGAGAGCCAGAGCTCTACACACTCGGCCATTCAGGTCCCATATTTGTGAATGCCAACGGTACGCGTTGTTCCCAGGTGGTCACCCACCCAAGAACTGACCGCGCCCAATGATGCTTGACTTCGGTGGTCTAACCGGTATATTTAGCATGGTATGGCCGTTGGAAGTTTATTTTTATTTAAATTTATAATGAATAATAATAATAAAGAAGGGAGGAATATTAAATAACTAACTTGAATTAGCATGCACTAAAACGAATAAGCAACTGCTGGATTTTTTTGTAATCGTTGTCTATTTTATGCAATTTTAGACTTTTAAAATGTCGAAGGTTCGAATTAACAAATCCCAACCCAATTCGCTGTTCAGCTACGTTGTGCACCTTAATTCTATTGTCGACTAGTGACCACAGTTATTTTTTCTTTTCTCTTTCTTTATCCTTTTTGTGTAAAATAAAAGGATAAACAAAAACTTATCAAAAAATGAAAATAAATAATTTTACAAAAATAATAAAATAGCAGAACTTTGGTTCTGAGAACAACCTTTTTTTTTTTGAGGGGGAGGGGGTTACTAATGTTTTCATTTACAGATTCATCGTTACGGCCCACACGTTCAGCAATCACAATTTTTAAATCCTATGTTGTTGTTGTTGTTTTTGCTTATCCCCTTGATTTAGAATCCTAAACCAAGTCCAGTGCATCATGCTGCATCAATAGATCGTAAACGGTCCTCCCCTCATTCAATAGTTGCCTCACAGAGGCACCAATACAATCAATGAGATGAGAGGGAGACATATGACAAAGGGTATATGTCTTCTCGTCTCCCTTGAAGGTCAAACTCTTAGTGTGGCCAGTCCTTAGTCTAGCTAAAGCCGTTTGAGCAGATCTAGGACATGAGCCCTGCAAGGACATACCAGGATATTTAGCTGCGTACCATGCATGAATTGGTGGCGACCTCCAAGCGGTATTCACTCTAGCTAAAGTCATGGAATGAACCTCTGTAGCTAACAGATTGGAAGAAGAAGCTTTGGGAAGTTCGCAACCTTCCCTAGCGAGAAGATCAGCAATTTCATTTCCGTAGATGCCCACATATGAGGGAATCCACTGCAAGCACACCGATCCGATCTGGTCCAAAACAGCTAGTTTAGAAACTATATCCTGCCCCAATTTGTCCAGGATTCTTGGCCAATCTTTCAAATACTGTATTGCGCTCTTACTATCAGTCAGAATCCAAACATCAGGTACATTAAAGTCTAAAGCTAGGCTCAGAGCTTCGCTTATAGCAGTTAATTCTGAGCGGAATTAAATCCTATTTAATAGTTTTATGGCATCTACAACTGGTCCCTAATTGCACCGAATTTTTAATTTAAATTCTTTTAATTTTAATTTTTAACTTTTGTATTTTTTATCTTACTTTTATTAATTTTTTTTAGTATTTTTTAATATTTTTACGAGTACCATTTTTAAATTTTAGAAACTTCATTTTTATCACATACTAACATTAAGCAGCCTATTAATAAACGTAAATTTTATATATGAATTAAGATGAGGAGGTTAAGAGATCTATCCTCATGGGTACTCCGTAATCGGTACGGCAGTTGCCAGTCAGAATTTTAAAATCTTTTTCACGAACAAGGAATAATAATGAAAAATGAATAAAAAAAATAATGAAAAAAAAAAAAAAAAAGAAATCATTTTCATAACTGCTAATAAGAATTTTTTGAAATACATCCATTTTTAAGTAATTCTTATTTAATAATACTTAAAAACTGAGATTACAAACTTTCTTAAAAAATCTAAGAGAGTTGAAAAACGTTTTGATGATTTTTTCAATTTAATAATTTAGACTTTCATTAAGAAAAGTAAATTGATAAATTTTCTTCTAAGTAAATTATATGATAGTAAAATTAATTTGTAAACAAGTTTACAAACTAAAGTTATTAGTTTGTAACACATTTTTATGTGTTTTTATTAGAGACATCGCGTTTAACTTGAATCGATTTTTACAAATTTATTTCAATTCATTCATTTTATTCAATTTCAATTTTATTCAAAGTTTATTTATTTATTATTTTACTTTATTTATTTATTTATTATTAATTTGATTAATTTATTTTTGTTTTATTTTATTTTATTTATTTATTATTATTATTTTTTGGCTTATGATTCTTAATTAATAATATATTACTTTTTGTACTATTTTTTCCACGACATTTTCATAAATAATTATTATAATATTAAATATTAAATATTTGAACTAATTTTATATTTAATCAAAATTTACATTATTTCAAAATTTACAAAGGATTTTTTTTTCACTCCCTATAACTTTTTTCTTTCGCAATATATAAAGCCCAATACATTGCAATTTTTACAATTAGAATGAATGCATTACATCAAAAGTAAAATTTATCTAATAAAATTATTAAACTTTAAAATTATTAAAAAAATTAAATAATTAAATTAAAAATTAAAAAGGAATATAAAAGAGTACAAAATTCATTTTTATTTGTTAATTACTGATATTAATTACTTTGCATGACGTAAATTAATTGGTTTAAAAAATAATTGAAGAAAATTGCGTCTGAAATAAAATTTTATTTTCAAGAAACACATATTAAAACTAACAAAAACTATACATCTCGATAATTACGGCAATTTAATTTATAAACTTTGGAAAATATTCTGTCTAAATCTATTTGTATATTTATTCAAAAGTTTATTTATCTTCTAAATATTCGTGTAGATGGCAGCACCAGCAGTTTCAATTTTTGTACAAATCTCATTGGGCTTTCTTTATTTTTATATATTTCATCTAATTTTCCAATGCCTTATGAACTAAAAATGTAAAATTTTATACCTTTAAAAAAATGTTTAATAATTTTTTATACTTTTTTTTTAATACTTTTAAAGGGTTTTTTTTTTTCTTTTAGTCATTGATGAAATGTATTTTAAGAAGTTGATTGACGATATTGTTACCATATATTTTAACGCTGATATTACATTCATGTCCATAAATTAAGGATAATTCAGAATCACACAGAAATTGAACTTTAAAATAAAAATTTCACATATAGAATTATCACACACATCTTGAAGAAGAATATGCAAATTACAGGAAACCACCAGATGGCGCGGATAGTACGTCACAATGACGAGAGTGTAAGAGAGGGGTATATAAGGAATGGTGGCAAAGAAGTAAAATTGTTCACAAGCGCTTTAAAGGCCTTTCAGTGCAATAACCGCATAGTTATGGCACAAAGGAAGCATTTGGATAATTTTTTACGGGGTAGAATTCGCAATTAGTAATTATTCGCAGGGAGTAAAAATCGCAATTTTTATTAATTATGCCAAACATATAGCATCTTTTTTACTCTTTACCTTTTGTTTAATAAATAGACTTTTCAAATAAGTCAAATTTGTTTTGCTTCTGTCTCTTTCTTTGCCTGAACTTCATTATCCTTAATTTATGGACATGAGTGTAGAATGTGTGGTTGTACATCATGGGTGGCCAACCCAAATGATCTCGCGGGCCACTTTGGAAATGCATCCTAACTCCACGGGCAGCATGTAAAATTATATATCCCCCTCTTAAATTTATACCTACTATAGACATTGAAACAAATTGAAATTTATACCTACTATGAAAATTGAAACATGGGGAGCTATTATTATTGTGTTTACTATTATTCTTACACGTAAACTTAGATAATATAATAATAATGATACTGAACGCCCACTGTAAAGAAAAATACAGCATTGAAAACGAAATAAAAATATATAAATATAAACAAAATAAAAAAAAGGAAAATATTAAAAAATATACACTGAAGTGACAAAAGTCATGGGATAGCAATATGCAAATTTTCAGATGGCAGTAGCATCGCGTAGAACAGGTATAAATGCGCAGTGCTTTCGCAGAGCTTTCATTTCTGTTCAAGTTATTCATGTGAAGAGGTTTTGACGTGATGATGACCGCACGACGGGAATTAACAGACTTTGAACGCGGAATGTTAGTTGGAGCTAGACGCATGGGTCATGCCATTTCGGAAATCGTTAGGGAATTCAACATTCCCAGATCCACTGTGTCAAGAGTGTGCCGAGAGTATGAAATTTCAGGCATAACATCCCACCATGGACAGCGCAGTGGTCGACCGCCTGCACTTAACGACCGAGACCGGCGACGTCTGCAAAGAGTCGTAAATTCTAACAGACAAGCAACACTGCGTCAAATAACCGCAGAAATCAATGTGGGACGTACAAGGGACTTGTCTGTTAGAACTGTGCGGAGAAATTTGGCTTTCTTGGGCTATTCCAGCAGAAGACCGACTCGAGTGCCTTTACTGACAGAACGACATCGCTTGCAGCGACTCTCGTGGGCACGTGAGCATATCGGTTGGTCCCTAGATGAATGGAAAACCGTGGCCTGGTCCGATGAGTCACGATTTCAGTTGGTAAGAGCTGATGGTAGGGTTCGAGTGTGGCGCAGACCCCACGAAGCCATGGACCCAAACTGTCAGCAAGGCACTGTTCAAGCTGGTGGTGGCTCCGTAATGGTGTGGGCTGTTTTTTCATGGCATGGACTTGGTCCTCTGGTGCGACTGGACCGAACATTGACTGGAAATGCTTATGTTCAGCTACTTGGAGATCACTTGCAGCCATTCATGAACTTCATGTACCCAAACAACGGTGAGATTTTTATGGATGACAATGCGCCACGTCACCGGGACACAACTGTTCGCGATTGGTTTGAAGAACATTCCGGACAATTCCAACGAATGATCTGGCCACCTAGATCGCCCGACATGAATCCCATCGAGCGTTTATGGGACATCATCGAGAGGTCTGTTCGTGCCCAAAATCCTGCACCATCAACGCTTTCACCATTATGGACGTCTATCGAGACAGCATGGCTCAATATTCCTGCAGAAGACTTCCAACGACTTGTTGAGTCCATGAAACGTCGAGTTGCTGCACTTCGCCGGGCGAAAGGAGGGCCGACACGATATTAAGAGGTATCCCATGACTTTTGTCACTTCAGTGTATATATTTTACAAGTGCGATATTTGTTAGCACAAGAATATTATTTTAAAAACAAAGTTAATTTTTTTCCTCACAATTTTGATAGTTCATTTTTGAATATATGGTGGCTCACATAATAAAAT